TTATAAGCTTTTGTTTCTACAAAATGGATAAGCGACAAGACTTTTGTCAGGGACTGTACAGACAAAATTTCTGATGCTGGGCTTCATCGTGGTCACATGCAGGTGGTCATAATGATATGCTTGATCGATGTATTTGTGTTCTGTTGATTTCTTTTCTAATTTTTGCAGATATTTCATTATTTTATGCATTACATTTTTGTTGTCATTGTGAAATCCATAAATTATGAAGTTCTCTTTTGTAATCCTTCTTCCTACTTTATCCATCAGCCAATAAGGTGTCTCCCACGTCGTCCGGCGGTGTGATCCATGTGTACGGGGACGACGGCTCGGAGAAGAGCACTGGCAGCTTTATCCCGTACTGCTCCATGGCCCAGGCACAACTCTGTTTCCATGGACACCGCGATGCCGTCAAATTCTTTGTTTCTGTACCAGGTATGTGTCGGCTCTATGCGGCGTAGTTAGTTTATAGTTTTGTACCATCATTTGATATTTTCATAAAGTTACTCCATCCAAACTATTTTAAAAAAGATCTCGGGAATCGTTGCCAACAGAGAATATATGGCTCTTTGCTGATTGGCTGGTGCCCAAACTCGCACTTCCGAGGTTTTTGCAAATCGTCTAGTGTATTCAAATTCCTGACCTAGTCGCTGGAGAGAAATGAAATTGAGCAGAGGCACTAGGTGGCGCCAGCCTGGCTACCTCGTGTGTGGTGTCTGTGTGACTATGAGCTGCTCTGTCAGATCGTAACTACCAAACATCAGCAACACTACGATAACAGCCTATAAAACAGAGCACTAGGGGCAGACGGAGTGACGGACACAGAGGCACAAGATACAAACTCGAGATATAGCGAAAATAATGAGAAGACTTACCTATGGTAAAGTGGTCAATTTAAAGTGCTGCATCTTGTCCAGATTATCCAGAGAAATTTACTTCCGCAAATAATGACATCCAGTCCACAAAACAGAGCTATTAATCCAGTTTGAAGTGTTCTTTGGAAGTAAAAACGAGAGAGTAGTTCCTCACGTGTCTGTTTACATCCACAAAGCGAGCGGCTCGAGGTGAAGCTGCAGATTAGCAACAGTGACTCTACTTCCAGTGGACTTTATCGGCAATCTTTTATGCTTCAAAAATCATGTATTGCACCACATTTCACAAATAATAACACAGTTTTGACTTGTAGCTAAACTAGAAGTGCTTTGCTCTGATATTTTCAACACTTAAGAGTCTCAAAGTGAGTCATTTTGCTGTAGGCAGGAAACAGCTGACGTGATCGCACTCACAACTTTATATCATGCGGTCCACAAACATATCCCGCTGTAGTCTTTGTGATCGGAGATTTTAAGTCTCATAAGATTCTCCTCGTGTCTGTGGTGTGAGCTTTTTGTCGCACATCAAGACCAAAAAATCCTATAGTCTGTGGCGGCGCTTAGGGAGTGTGACGTCACCCGAAGTGGCTCCAGCTCCTCGAGGCTACTGGTAATACAGGTGAATTTGGGTCCGAGTTCCATATTTGGATTATGACTGCAAGTATTATAGCAACCAAATAAGCAAATCAAAACTGTGACTGACCTTGAGGAAAAAAGGCATCTTATTGGTCTGTTATTAATGTTCTTGATTTATGGACAAATTAGCTTAATAAAAAATGCAGGATCATGTAGAGCAGGTTAATACCAACATTTTATGACCCAAATGATGAGGCCCACTGCTGTAGTTACAGAAAGGGTTGACAGTTTTTCAATAGAAAGTGGATTGGAGTCGATGGAGCTGGAAGTGCGCCCAAGCTCATTTCCTATTTGCAAGGCTAGCGGGTTAGTTATGCCCATTGATGCAGTCATTTTTCATAAGACTAATAAGAAATAAGTAGGCCTATTTCTCCATGAGTTATAAAACAGAGCTATGGATAAGGGTCAATTATCCATTACACTGCAAGAAAACAACGTATTTAGGTTTGCAAAACATGACATTTAAAAGCTCAACCACATAGCTCACCAGCCAAAAATATTTTCAGTACTTCCCTATAGATAATCAAATGTCCATCCATCCATCTATTTTCTTCCGCTTATCCGGGGCCGGGTCTCAGGGGCATCAGTCTAAGCAGGGACTCCTAGACTTCCTTCCCTGGATACTTCCTCCAGCTCCTCCGAGGGGACCCCAAGGTGTTTCCAGGTCAGCCGAGAGACATAGTCCCTCCAGCGTCTCCTGGGTCTTACACGGGGCCTCCTCCCAGTGGGACATGCCCGGAACAGATGCCCGAGCCACCTCAGCTGGCTCTCCTCGACCTGAAGGAGCAGCAGCTATAATACGAGCTGCTCCCGTGTGATTGAGCTCCTCATCTATCTCTAAAGGGAGCACCCAGCCACTCTGCGGAGGAAACTAATTTCAGTCGCTTGTATCAGCAATCTCGTTCTTTCAGTCATTACCCAGAGCTCATGACCATAGGTGAGGAATGTAGATTGACCGGTAAGCCGAGAGCTTTGCCTTTCGGCTCAGCTCCCTCTTCACCACAACGGTCCAATACAGCGACCGCATCACTGCCAACGCTGCAATGATCCGACTGTCAATCTCACGCTCCACCCTCCCCTCACTCGTGAACAAGACTCCGAGATACTTGAACTCCTCAAATGTCAACTTTTTTCAAATCTGGAGTTTACATGTATTAATTTCATTGGTTGAAATATTAACATTTGTACACTTTCTCACAGGTAATGTTTTAGCCACGTTGAATGGCAGTGTGCTGGACAATCCCTCAGACACACAGGGGTCCGGGGCCCCTGCGGACGCCGAGACACAGAGCGTGCAGAACGTGCTGGTGCTGAGCGGAGGAGAAGGCTACATCGACTTCCGCATTGGTGAGGCTTCTTATTCCAAAACTACACTGTATATAAATATAAACTAGGGTTATAAAAAATATTGAAAATCAGATACTAATCAATACGAAAACTGTTACCAATTGTAGATGCTCATTTGAGGAGGTATCAATACTAAAAAAGTCACATTCATGGGACAGAAATCAACCTTTCCTGAACTGCTTTAGAATGACCTACCTGGACCACTGAGGGATTACACAGATGAAAATCACATTCTATTGTATGAAGTTTTTCATTATCATCATGGTGTCCGAATCAGTATTTAGTTTTGAGTCTATTCCTTAGGACTGAAATCAAGTAGAACCACTAATATAGACATCCACACTGAGCAGCCACTCGTTATATCGAACTAAAATTTCTAACAAATGAAACTGAGGCTAACTACAATAAACTCATGTCAAGTCATGCTAAACAAACTAAATAAATCAATTAATGATATGTAAATGTGGCCTGTCTAAAAAAATACCATAGCATCCTTATAGTTATAACATACCTTTCACATGTGGAGCTATATTGGTGTTCGGGATTTTTTATTTTATTTTGTATTAGCCCATTAATTCAGATTCACAATTTCACTCGCTTATTTTTGTTGACTGTCCACACTGCAAAAAAGCTTGGCTAAAATGTAAGATGTAATTACTTAAATCTATCAGTAAATGACTTAAAAGTAATGAAATTATCTGTCTATGCAGCAAGATAATTTTACTTGACAAGTTATCTTAAAAGAAACTACCTCTAAAATAGAATTAAGGAGTCTCAGAGCTAGTAAGTAGATATAAGTTTTAAAATCTTGGCCAGATCAGAGACATTTGTAGTTTATCATGTTTGACCCTCAGGTGATGGCGAAGACGACGAGACAGAGGAGGGGGACAACAACAGCCAGAGCTCGGAGCCCAAGTCGTCCCTGTGCAAAGCCGAGAGGAGCCACATCATCGTGTGGCAGGTGTCTTACATACCTGAGTGACCTGGCTCTCCACCTGCTCCCGCAACTCCCAATATCAACATTTGAACAAACTATTCTCCTCCTCCTCGGCCCTAAAAGCTTCCGGCGCTCCCAAACCTTGTATTTAACCCCTTATGTAAAAGTCCCTCAAGATGTGTAACTACCATACCTCCTGATCCCGAGACCTTGTAAGTTTAATGCATTGTAAAAAGAAAAAATCCCTTCTTCTTGGATCTTGTAATATGCTTGACACGCTGTTTGGGCATTCTAAGTAAGTTCATGAGCCTTGTTCCTAGCCTAAAACTACCTCCCCCTGTGTATCTTAAACATTCAAAATCTCCCTCGGTTGTCTTGCATCTAGTCCGACTTCGGTTACCATCTGTGAAACTTCGAAACATACTTTAAAGGTGCACAGCGTAACTTTTCTACCTGCTTGTTTCCACGGAAATAAGTTATTGCTTTGTCTGGAATGTTCAGCATTATAAATTTACTCAGTTACAAGTGTGCTTAAAAATGCCTTGAACAACATGTATCCCTGCTGTGCGTGGGCTCGTCTCTACACAGACCTGACCTGTTTGAAGTTTAATGCCATAGTGTGGAATATTCTGCACAAAGCTTTTACGACATAAGCAGGTAGCCAGAAAAGTTAAAATAGTCGACCTTTAAGTATCCCAATCCTGTTTCATGACGCAATTTGTATGGCCTTTGCCAAGTTTATTCATAACTTTGGACGATACTTATGCACCAATTATCCTTTATCAGAAATACAGGCCAAAATTTCTGAACAAAAAATCTGAAAAGGCGTTTTGAAAGATGGAAAATACGTGGGAGAAGATGATATCCGCAGAACACTACCTATGAGGAAAAGTTTGGGCTGTATTTAAATTGCAATTAAACTACTGTGTGAATAAGATAATCTAAAAAAGGTCAAAGCTTTAGTAGCATCTTTTCCTCTCAAGTTATGCGGCTGGTTGGTGGGAGGGGTAGGCTTAAAGCAGGTGAAGGACGTTAACTGTCACTTTGTACAAGAACAAGGATTACTGTAAATTGACATACTCAGCCCATGTTAAAAATGTATGCATTGACTCTGTGGACTCAATATTAAACATTTGTGTGCTGAAACTGACTATTTTTCTGTGTTTTATTGTTCCAATGCGTGATTTTAAACGGAAGAAAGACAAACCACATCTTTTTAAATAATTGCATCTTTTGTTTTACATTCAAGTGAGCCAAAAAAGGCAAAGCACATAGTTTAAGTTAAAATGACACCATGATGATTCTGTAAACAAAATATTGCATTTTTGTCAGTGGCTGCATTTACATAGCCAGACAAATCAGATAACCCAATAACAAGATCTGATAACTCTAGAAATGAGATAATGATCAGCTTTCTGTGTGTAAACATAACCACTGAATAGTTATTTGGTTCTTATTTAAGTGCCATTACAAAAGCTTTGAAATCAGCATGTTATTGTCCCTGGATGGTTGAGCTTTTTCTTTTTGCTTAAGAGAACTTTGAAGAACAGCACAAGAAGAGCTACCCCTAAATGCGCATGGATGGACTTAAAAATGTCTGAGAGTGCAGTTATTCGTATATCCACTTGGTGCTGCAGACGTCGTGGTTACACAGCTCTGACTCTTTGAACCACAGTGAAATCTCCCTCTGTGCACTCTCCACAGAATCACTGCCATGGATCACGTTCCTGAAAAACAAATTAAAGTATGTTCAAAACACTTATAACAAACATATTATTTAAACCTTTGCCAGAGAAAGTATGATTTCAGACTATATTGTCATTACAATGTGCATTTTTACACTTTACACTGCTTTATCAACACTTGAAGATAAGGTTCGTCTAGACTGAAGCTGGGCTGCCATTCTGCCCCATAAGGCCCACAGAGCACCACCAATCACTTCCACACCATATTCAGACATAGACAGGTTGAAGTGCCTTGCCCAAGGACACAGAATGGCAAAAAAGAAATATCTGTCAGTCCCAGAGCAGATGTGGGCACAATAGTAGTTTACTACCACTTTGAGTGTCTAGAAAAGCGTTTTACAAGACTAATGCATTATTATTAGAGGATTATTATGAAACAGGTTTACTCCTGACTTTCTTACTTGCAAGGTTGAATTGCACAATACCCATATTATTGTGCAATTTAACCGCTGACATCGTTAAAAAGAAAATCTCATTCTAATTTAAAGTATTAAATTTAGATTACTGACCTATATAAATATAAGACAGTTTACAATTTCTTTAACAAGATATGATAAGAATGAAAATGTAAATAGCTTTTCCCCGAATTCAGATAAATAAAAAATTAAAATTTAATCATTCAGGGTGTGCAAAAAAAACAAACAAATAAAAAACCCTAAGATTTCATTTTCTGGCCATAATCACACAGCCCTAAGGATGTCAATGCCAATTAATTTTGAAAGGTATTTTGCTGGATGAAAACCATAGGAGACATCTGTCATGGTCACATTTTTATACAGTGCCTTTCCACCTTCCAGGCACTCAAAGCGCTGTCCGTCAGCCTTAAGCAGCAAGATGGATTCTCTGTCCTTACTTTCCCATTATCACACAGAAATCTCCCCTGAAGGTTCCTGGCATCGAGTTGGTTGGATTGGTCTGTCCCATCATTTTACGTCCGGTCTTGACAACATCTAATCCCTGCCACACCTGCATATAAAAATATATATATATATATAACACAACTGTCTGTATAAAAGAACACAAAATACACCTTAACAAATCTCACCATAGCAACCACTGGCCCTGAGCTCATGTACGACACAAGCTTGTTATAAAAGGGACGATTCCTGTGTTCCCAGTAGTGTTCTCTCAACAGCTCCTTGGATGCCTGAAATAACAAAAGACAAGCAAGAGTTTTAGTTAAAATAACATAAACATGACCCGTCCATGTCCCTAGATACAAGTAAGACATGTTCAAATCAAACATAGCCTAATAACAATTGTAAAATATTCTTATTTACAAAAACACTGGATGTGACAGCCAAGTTATAATTTGGTCATTTGATTCAGAAAACAAATACATCTCTCATTTGAGTTGCAAGCTTCAATGCTTGAACCTCCTGAGACCCAAAGAAAAAAAAAAAGTATTGCAATATTTTTTTTTTATATTTGGAGGTAAATGAACACCTTAGCATTTAGATTTAGTTTGTTTTATTTTTATTTATAATTTTGTAACATGTCCTCTGTAATAGATGCTTGGGACATTTTGGAGTTAAATCCAAGTGAATTTAACAACCTAACAAAAACACCCTTTTTGTTTAATCATAGTGCAGCCACCACTAACTTCTACTGAATTCATTTTTTATCCTGGACATGATTATGATGACTATAATCCCCCAGCCATGTTTAGGCAGAGGAACCTAGTCCCCCATTAAGAGTCGATCTCAAAACATTTAAGAGAGACTCTATGTCCACTATGAAGGACAAAAATGAATGGGGCAGGTCTCAGGAGGTCTCTCTCTGATCTGAATGGTCACTACCTAAACCATAGTACCTACAGTCAATCATGAATCAGTGCTAGTACAGCCTCTGCAGCCCATGAAACCCATACAGGATAATTTTGTATGTATCCTGTATACGCAGGTTAAGGTTCTGGCAACCCAGTTCAAGTTGTGATTGTAATACATTATTAAACAGTAAGGGTGCGGTGTTCCATGTGCATTAACAACTAAAAAGCAACAAATTACAAAATCTAGGTGTCATTTACCTGCATCAGCTTGAAGCCCACCAGCTTAAACCCTTTCTTCTCAAAACGCTGCACAATTTCTCCCACTCGTCTCCTTTGTAGTCCATCTGGTTTGACTGCAATGAAGGTGCGCTCATTCACACCCGTCCAGCCTACAATCAAAAATATCCTTTACAGTTAGAAATTATAGCTGAAAGAGAAATTTTAGGGGAAATACATGCAGAAACACACAGACAAAAGACATTGCAATTAAAAAGTCGAGAAAATTGGTCCACAATCTTCACAATTTGGTAGTTGGGGGTTATGCAAATAATATGTGTTTTGTGCACTTTGAGTATTTCTGGATTTCATTGCTGCTTTCTTCGGGTTTTACAAGTTTAGCGCATGGGGCAAACATTCACCAGTATGTTTAAGTCAAATAAACTTCCATATTACATGCATTTGGTCAACCATGTGCTATAGATGAAGCATAATGCCGACTCTACACTCACTTATCTTAAGCATACACCATGCCACCACGTGTCTATTCAGCAAAGTATTCAGATTATCCAGGTTAGAATGACCACAAACAAACAGTAACATTAGTAAGTACTCCAAAGTGTCACATTTCAGCCTACATTGACTCTCAAGTTCCACAATAGCCCCTTAGCTGCTGCAGAGGAGTAGCTTCACGGCGTAAAGTTTGAGTCTTGTCTTCATTTTCAGGACAATCTACGACAGTTTTGCCCATTTAAGATAATAATATTTGACAGTCACGTGTGAACAAGTCCGGGAAATGTATATGTACCCACCTGATCTAAAGAAATCTGCAAATAAGGATAGAATGAAGCCGATCATTGTTGCGGAGTTGGAGAGCACTACGTGCGCACGGTGATGAAGGGGAGTTTTCCGTGGAGAGCGCGGGCCAAGTTCCGACGGAGCAGGGCGCGCCACTTCACAGTAAAAGACAGAGGTACACCGCAAAAGAACCACGCCAACCAGACATTCTGAGTAAACCTTACGTTATTCATTGTGTATTTTCAGTTTTTGGGCTCATTCTTCATTATAACTTGGCTATTATGTTGCCAATCCCTAAAGTTTTATGCATTTGTAAAGAATTTCTCAGTTTTATACAGTAGGCCTAAATTGGAAATCCGGAATGAATGAGTCATTTACGAGAAAACGTCACATTTTGTTGGTCTGTACAGAAAATAAGAGCATTTATTTCTCCCTTTAATTTCAGTGGTTTGCAAAAAAAAACAAAAAAAAAAACAAGGGTAACACATTTCAAATTCTATACAAAATGCACAAACACACTCTTGTTCAGTTAAACAACTCATTTGTTTTATGAAACCCATTATTTTTGGCAGTATTCTTTAAATGTATAGACTATTTATTCTGTTTAATAACACTTAAAGTTGTTCAAACGCAAGTGCCTATACAGATGAGTTTTTAAAAGGAACACTATGTAACTTTTCTGTCTTTATGGAGAGGTTATTACTTTTCCTGGAATGTTTGGCTGTTAATAAAGTAAAGCACAACAGATATGTTTGTTTCCATTTGCTCTACGCTCTCCATGCAAAGCAGTAACATGACCATGAAAGTACGTGACAGACGCTTCACCTGAAATCACATAGTGCGCCTTTAGGAGGAATTGTTTTATTTCTAAAAATGTCCAAATGTGACAGAATCACACAGGCGTTCCTTCGCTCTTTTTCTGCTGCTCTTGTTCTTTCATTTTAAAATATTCTTTGTTGAATGTAACAGTTCTTTGCAGTTGCAGGGCTGGCTCCACGTACGCAGCCCCATTTTTCTTCTGTTGGGCCAGGAGCATGGCACGGAGCAGGGGAGGATATGGGACGGAGCGCGGGGGCGGAGCAGGGAGGGGCTGGAAGTTTGTGAACGCATGCTCCAGGTGTTTGGGGATCAACCTCCAGTCATGGTACATCACCTTGTCAATCTCTTTAACCTCAGTCTCCTTTTGTCCTGTGTCAAAAGAATCAAATTCCAATCAGTAAGTGCAGCATATTTGCCTTTATCATTTAATCTACAAAGAAAGTACATAAGTATCTTACAGTGGTTTCCCTAAGCTTAATGTTGATTTGCTAATACAAAATATCTTACAGCTCATCCATTCCTGCTCATTTGAGTGGACTCTCCCTGAAATTTGTACTGCTTCCAGTATTGCTAAATCTCCATTTTATTTACCACTCTTTAAGTGTTTGCCCAAAAATGATCTGTTATACCATCTTGAGACCACTAGGAATACCAGTGCAGTGGGACAGCAGTGGCTGTAGTGCATGCTGCTGTTGTATCCTTAGATGTTCAAGATGTGTGTAGAATCCCTCAGTTGTCAAATAGAATCCATGGCAAAAGGAGACATTCAATTTGTCAACTGGACAAACTTTTATGAAAAACGTTCCGCAGCTCATCCAAGCTGCTTCTTCTGGTCAGAATGCTGGTGGACACTGCTTTATATTTGCCTGAAGGGCACCAGCATTCTGACCAGAACTGAGGAAGCAGCTTGGATGAGCTGTGAAATATTTTCAATCTAAATAAACGTTTGTCCTGTTGACAAATTGAATTTTTCCTTTGCAATTGTATCCTTAGGCAAGACTTAACCGACCTTCCCTAGTACATGTGGTGTGTGAGTGACTGGTGGTGGTCAGAGGGGCTGATGGCACAGATTAGCAGCCTCACTTCCATCAGTCTATCCCAAATGTGGGATAACCACCATAGAATATGGAGTGAAAGAATAATGCAAAGTAAAGTCAAATGTAAAGCAACTCTGAGGAAAAGCACTACATAAGACTCATACAGTATTAATATTGTTCAACTAACCATACTGTCATACTGCAGGGAGACACCTGACTTACGAAAGTATGTAACCATATCCCGTATGCGTAACATCCTCCTAAACTATTCTGCAAATTAAAGTGCAAATAAAATCAAAATGACCTACCTTTGAAGCTAAGAATCCCCCACGCCTTGCCATGATCCATGTTCTAATAAAAAGCACATATACATAGTTAATATTTTGCATATACCTGCAGAATGACTCCTTTACCATCTTACCTCTGCTGTGTAGTCCACCTTCACTTTAGTGACCTGCCAGTAGCACGGTTCAGTGTGATCTTCTATCCAGGACTTACGAGTGAACAGGCGCCCCACACCAAACAGTTTCATGCTCGCCAATAATGAAAACAGCCTGCTCTCCCTGCGCACGTCCGGCCACGCCATGACGGGCAGCCTCTTCCCGGTGAGAGGCCGCTTCATCGTCTCATAGTCCAGGTCATACTTCTGGGAATCCCGTGGTCTGGATTTGAGCTCACGATAGGCCCGGATCTTGCGTGCCATTTCGGCTATAAGGCGAACTCGCTTTTTCTTCACCATCTTTGTCAATTGTTAGTCAGGTCTGCAGTCAGGTTTATCTGGGACTAGAGGTCCTCTGCAACATAAACACAACACATGATCTGAGCATGACAGATAGCTTCGCATGATACAAACAGCTTAAATTCGGACAATTAAAAGAACTGAGACTAGAGACACATGTGTAAGAACAGTCAATAAAGAAAGCACAGATGCATGACAAATACATGTTTAAAATAAGGTTTGAAAAGTACCTAAATTTTGTAGAGAAATCTGTTTCACTTGACCTCAAGTACGACCGGCACCTGACACAGCGTCCCTGTCCATACACATTACCTTCCGTCAGAAACAAGGAACCAATTGTATATAGTTCCGCCTCAATTAGACTTGCATAATTCCAATGACCTCTAACAAAAAAAAAAAAAAGCACACTTTAGAGATACACGGTGTAACATTTATGATGGATTGTCCGCCACCTGCTTGTCTCCATGGATATGTTATTGCTTTGCTACGAATGTTCAAAAGTATGGGACAAACATTTCTTTTTATTGTTGAAAAACATGCATTCTTCTTCAAATCTGACCTGTAACTTGGCTGAGACAAACGTCACCTATTTGTTTTCATGTAGATAATATTACTTAACATCTCCATCTCCAACTGTTCAAACAAAAGTTATAGTACACTCAATATTCACAATGATAAACATAAATCTACTGAAATGACAAATATATTGTAAGTAAATGGGAAACTCAGTATTAAGCGTTTGTTTTATTTTGAGTGGAAAATCATGCTTATAACTTATACAGAAAAGGCTTGTAACATACAGCTTTATTTCATGAGATATAATAGAGGAAATAATTTTGTATTTACAGTCATAAAAAGTGCTTAGATGCATTTAACATGAAGACAAATACTGTGAATAAGACGCATTGGCTTCATTACAAACAATTGCGACTTTTACATTTGTGATATCACGTTGTCACTGTTCCAGATAGGAAATATCACATAAAAGGCTTGGTCCATTGCAGCTTACGACGTTAACCGAAATGAACAAGAGGCTATGAGTTTGGCGGTCTTTCATTTTGTGGTGAATCCTACCATCTAATCAAGAGGATAACACTGTTTACATTAGATGACTATATGCATAATTTGTTTACATATAGAGTCATACTAGAGCTAGAAATTCTACAGCCCACTATTTAAAGTGAAAGTAATTCCAGATGGCAACATTTTGATTACATTTAGCGTGATACACAATACCTTTCATGGGATAAAAAAAAGAAAAGAAAAAATCACTGAAATTGTGAGGCCACCACTCAACAAACACATCCTCTCATGAAGGACCCAACAGGCAGATCAGAATGGTCCATAATTGTTACAGGAGTGAATACACAAAGCACCAAAAGAATAACTTGCATAAAATCCAGCAACATTACATTAAACAACAAAACATTAAAATTGCTTAGAACATCTGACAAACTTAAAATATATGTGCATCTTTTGCCATTCATATTCAAAATGAATATTATACGGGAAGAAATGTAAATAGTTAAGACACGCAAGATTCTATTATTCTGTTAAATTTACTTTTAAAAATACCCTAATGATTTTTTTTACATATTTAATTTTACAGGTAAAGGTGAAAAATACCTTATTTTTTAACAGTTATTCTGTTTTAGTATATGCAACAGTTACAGCAACAGACACCATGGTTAGTTGTAAACTGAAAAACAGTGTAAAGCATTTGCATAACTTCAAAATAAAAAAGAAACTCAATGTCTTATAATCAAGGCTTCACTTTTCAGAGACAATTTCGTATTGTTGAAATGTGTAACTCCTAAACTTTCATGAACTCATTTCTTGAATGGACTGTTTGAAGGTCGGTGTCAGATAGACAAGTAACTACTGGATTAGATGCCATACGACAGTGCCAGTGTTTAGAAGGAGGTAGGAACAAGTCTATGTCCAGCGACATCTCTTCCTCTGACAGGCTTCAGGGTCTGAAGTGCAGCCCTCCGAGTCGCTCTCTGAGGAGGACGGTCCAGCCAGAGCAGGGACAGGTAGATCTGGAGACTGCTCGGGCTCATCCAGAGTCTCCTCTATACTGCCACTGCTGAGGCTCAGCACCCATCCAAGTTTGTTATGTAATAAATGACGGAGACCGGGTGGCAGTGGTAGCACATCGAGAGTGTCTACAGAGTCTGGGAGCAGTTGACGGAGACGTGCACAGCAGAGATAGAGCAGGGAGGTGGGTGCGGAGCAGGAACGGATTACCTTCATACTGCTCTTTGCTGCTGTTGAGCACGCCATTGGATAAAACCGCTTATTCTGTAGTTCTGTAGCAGCAACACCTAGAGAAGAAGAGTGAAATAGAACATTTTCTGTTTTGCCATGCAGTAAAAATGTACGACATTCTAAACTCACCAATGCACTTGCGATTCTTAAAAAATGTAAGGGTTCCATGCCAAGTGTCCAGATGGACACCAATAATAGAACCTTGTCCAAAGCGAGTAGAGAAATTCATCTTCTCTCCTTTATGATGCAACAGACCTGCAAAACAAAATGTTTAGCACTGCAAACATTTTGACACCTTCTAACCTACAAACATAAAAGGCAGCGGTAAATTTTACCAGTGTAAGAAAGGCCCCAGCTGTCAGCGTCCTTTCCCAACAGACTGCAAAATGTATGCCTATATTTGTCCAGGTTAACATCACAAGTACCAATTCCGACCATCTGAAGAGAAAAAAAAAAAAGACATCTTAAACAAAAACCCATGTTTACGATGGTTAAGGTCCAAGAGTGAGCCTCACCATGTCTGTCCCATACACTGGGGATGTCATCTTGATCTCCCAGAAGTGCTGCCCTTCCACCAGCTCTTTGGAGCCACGCACTGCAGCAGTGCCACAGCTGTATTCAGAGTGGAAGTTTACTTTGCGGTTGTCACAGCTCAGTAATGTTGCTGTGGATCTGCTGCTAGTATCCCAAACCCAGTCGAAATCTAAAAACATTCATTAAGAGTCAGTGTTAATAAAAACCTAGACTTGATACCTGTTGGTCATGATTAGAAATGTATTTACCTTGATCATCCTCTCCACAGTGGCAGTCTTTCACTTGGTGAAAACCTCTTAATCTGGAATTGTAGCTGGTGTCAGCTTGTGAATCACAGCCACAGTATGACTCTCCAGTAACAGGCACAGCACTGGGGACTGGGGGGGCCATGACTGATGAGAAGTCTGCCTCAGAGTCTGAATCACTGTACTTCAGACAACAAATATGTATATCATAAGTTATACAGTAGAATGAAAATCTGATACAGTAACTAAACTACTGCCATCATGTGATGGGACAAAAACACCCAATAATTTCAAAGCCACAACAAACAGCTCTTGTTTCTGTCTTACCTCTAGGCGCTCATAACCCCAGTCCTCATTCTCAGAGGCCAACACAAGAGCTCGGGCATCTGCGTCTTGTCTTATTCCTCCCCATACATATCGCCATGCCCGGCTGTTTCGGCTTCTTCTGGACATGGCAGCACCACTGTGGATCAGGTCCTGCTCCTCGGCTCAGGTTTAGTCCAGACTCTAGGCATCAGTCGAGCTGCCCAAAACAAGCACATGACAAAGATCAGACACTGTGTCATAATCATAATGGGATTCAGCTTCCTTTTATGCTTGGTACATGCAGGGTTTTGATTATAGAAATTTAGTTTTTCAATGTTAATGCTATAGCAATGGTCCTAATTTGGAATAATTCTGAAATGTATGGAAACAGGCTGTAAATTTATCTCGAAAGAAGGCAAATTTATGTTAATTTAATTTCAGCAAGCAAAACATTCAGATTACTATATAATTGGTTCTGTATCTTTTGCGGTTTTGAAGCACGTAGCTTCCTGCATAATAATTAATATACTGAGCCACAATTTACTGGCCACAACCACAGTTAACTAATATTAATTTTGGTTATCCTCCTCACCATATGGTTTTCTCTTGGCCAAAGTCATTACATGAAATCAAGAAAGCCATTCCAATGTTCTACGAAAACAAGCCATGTTATCATAAAAACACGCTGCAGCAATCGTGGCTCGTAAATATGATAAGATTAGTCCTGGGAAAGGGAAGAAGTGTGTTATATTATTTTTGCTTGGCTTTGCAGGGCGACCATCTACTAGCACGGTGAGCTAACTAGCCTCGGTTAGCTGCAGGATGCTATCGGCGCACAAATCCAGCGATCGCGAACGTGCACTGACTGGTTTTCGTATAAAATCAGACACGTCCACTGAAGGATAACATACAGGCACGATATAAAAAACTTACCCTTGGCACAGCGGTTCATACAAGGCCAGTGGTTGAGCAGATAACATAGCTCCCCTTACCCATGACCTACTTACACTGGTCTGACCGTAAACAATGACAGAAACACACACGCACAAACTCACACACACTACATACTCTGTTATTACCAAGAACTCACGCACATGGAGATTAAAAAAGGCTATATTATATTCTTATTCATGTTGTCAACACTTTAAACTGCGTCATAATTGAACAGAATACAAAACTTTGTCAATGCTTTGCACCCTATGACTCTTACAAACTTTAAAAGGCAGGTAAATGAGAATAGAAAGTAATGTAGGGTGACAACAATCTCTATTTACCCTGGACAAACCCAGTTTTGATCCAGAACCATTGATTTGTCCCAGTTTTTTTTTACAAGAAATGTCCCAAATGTCCCTGTTTTTGACCAATCTGATCCCTGCCAACAGTAAAGGGAGGCATACATAGTCATTTGTTTAGGTAAAATACAGAAAAGCTGCTTAAAAATGACAAAAATACAAAGAAAATGTGACTAGACTGACTCACATTAAAGCAGAGTGCAGAACAATTTTCCTTAATTACGCACTCGTTTCACAATTTTATTATTACCGACCACAACAAACCAGTGATTTGTCCCAGTTTTATACAAGAAAAATATCCCAAATGTCCCTGTTTTTGACCAGTCTGATCCCTGCCAAGTCAGTTGTTTAGGTAAAATACTGAAAAGCTGCTTAAAAATGACAAAAATACAAAGAAAGTGTGACTATACTGACTCACATTAGTGCATAACAATTTTCCATCATTACGCACTAGTTTCACAATTTTATTATTACCGACCACAACAAACCAGTGATTTGTCCCAGTTTTACACAAGAAATGTCCCAGATGTCCCTATATTTCTAATAGGGATCCAATCTGATCCCTGACAACAGTAATGAGAGATATAAATTAACATTTGTTTAGGTAAAATACAGAAAAGCTGCTTAAAAATGACAAAAACACAGAGAAAATGTGACTATACTGACTCACATTAGTACCAAGTGCATAGCAATTTTCCTTAATTACACACTTGTTTTACAATTTTATTAATATGGTGATATATCAGCAGCAGCCCACAATATCAATACTGTATCATCACATTAAATTATACAATATACTGATATTTTTACAAACCTCTAGTCAATGCTATGCACCCTATGACTATTACAAACTTCAGAAGACAGGTAAATGAGAATAGAAAGTAATGTAGGGTGACCAGATGTCTCTATTTACCCTGGGACAGTCCTGGTTTTGAGCACTGTGTCCCTCCCAGCATTTTACAAGAAATGTCCCAGATGTCCCTATTTTTGACCAATCTGATCCCTGACAACAGTAAGGAGAGGCATAAATTGTCATTTGTTTAGGTAAAATACAGAAAAACTGCTTAAAAATGACAAAAACACACAAAAAATTGACTATACTGACCCACATTAATGCAGACAGCAGAATAATATTCCTTAATCAGACACTAGTTTCAGTTTTATTATTACCAACATCAACAAATCCGTGATTTCCCCATTTTTTATTTTGAAAATCTGGTCACTCTAGCATTACATACTCTGTTGTTATCAGGGACACACACACCGAGATTAAAAAGACTATAAGGTATTAGTTATTATTCATGTTGTCAGCACCTCAAACTCTGTCATAATTGAATAGAATACAAAACTTTGTCAATGCTATGGCTGGATATCATTAAGAAGTTGCTTCTATGATACATACTTCGATACATTGACCATGATACGATACACATCTCGTTACAGTGCACTTTCAATTCAATACGATATATTTCAAATCGATTCGATGCAGTTCAATATAAAATAATGACTAAATCATGGCTGTGATACTGAAAGTCTTTGTTAAACCACTTCTTGTGCCAAGTGAATATGAAACCCACACATTTTAATCATCAAAACACTGAAAATGTCAAATGTGTCGCATAAACGAGTTTCCTTCCTCTGAACCAAGCCACAAAACTGTAGCACTGTAACAAAATAATTTTGTAAAATATACCAAAAAATACTCTTGGCAATACATCAATACAGCAGCACACATAATCGATATTGTATCATCACATTAAATTATACAGTATTTCGATACAGTATTTCGATATTTTTGAACTCCCCTAGTCAATGCTATGCACCCTATGACTCTTACAAACTTTAAAAGGAGAATAGAAAGTAATGTAGACTACTCTTTTTTATTTTAATGCTGCAGTATGTAACATTTTAGCCGAAAAAAGCTGAAATAAAAGCACACTGCTGTTTTTTTTTTTTTTTTGTTTTTTTTCAGTGTGGTTCTGTTTATTCCACTAAAAGCAAGTGTCTCTACTGTGAGCTGATTTGCATCTCCACAAACCTAGGGTGACCAGACGCCTCTATTTACCCGAGACAGTCCCAGTTTTGAGCCCTGTGTCCCCTGTCTCAGCAGATTTATCCAAAACCAGTGATTTGTCCCAGTTTTATACAAGAAATGTCCCAGGTGTCCCTATTTTGACCAATTTGATACCTGCCAACAGGAAAGAGAGGCATACACTGTCTTCTGTTTAGGTAAAATAAAGAAAAGCTGCTTAAAATGACAAAAACACAAAGAAAATGTGATTATACTGACTCAGTTTTCCTTAATTTCACACTCGTTTTACAATTTTATTATTACCAACCAACCCAAACCAGTGATGTCCCAGTTTTTTATTTTGAAAATCTGGTCTGGCCTACACAAACCTGACTATTACATGGCCTGGAGGAGGGCCTTCTGCTTGTTTCCATGGAGATGTTTGTCATTTGGATATAATATTCCACAGTATGGAATAAAACTTTTGTATCTCTATGAAAAATGTTGAGAAGTAGTTTGAAGTGGTTTGAACGTTCTGTTCCCATGGACTAACGCAGGTGCTCAGTTGTGTCATTTAGACTTGGATACACCATTTCATTTTTTGTATATTTTCTGAATTCCTGGGATGAAAAGGTCAAGGTCAGGGCAAGAGAGTGGACTCGTGACTGGTTGCCAATTTAAAAAAAAAAAAAAAAAAAAAAAAGAGAGCGAGCGACAAAAAGAGAGAGAAGAGTATAACACAGAACTGCTTGAAAGTGGCATATTTTTTATTATTCAGTAATTTCCTATGACCAATTATTACTATTGTACAGGTATTTAAAGTAAAGCCACAGAGAGTAGATATGAATTTCTATTAACAGAATCTAGAGCCTGGAGGGTGTTAAAGGTGGTTTATGTAACTTTTTTATTGGTGGATCTCCTGCCTGCTTGTTTCCACAACAGTGATATTACTTTATTGCCAATATAGCAATAAGCTTAATCTTTCTCAAGCGGGTGACACCTCCAGTGCAGGCCAAGTCATAGCCCTCAGTAGGAATGTAGTTTTGGAGCAATAAAACACCTGTTAGTAAATAAATGCAAGAAATGCTGTGGAACATTTCAGGGAAAGCAATAACATTTTCACAAAGTTACATAGTACATATTAAAAATGGGATCATAAGATAGTGTCTGTCACTTGAAGCATTAAAGCAGTAACATTTTGAGATTTCTATAATGTAAAAAAAAATAAATACTGACCACTCGTTTCTGGAGGAGGTTGTGTTTTATTTGGAAATCTGACAGGCATGGCTGAACAGTGAGCTCGCACCTTAACCAAATACAAACAAAAAAGACAGCAGCACTACAGAAAAATGATATTAGTGTAAGAATGTCATATTTAACAGAACTCCACTTGCATACATAGAGCACTCAGATTATTCTCTCACACACAAACACACACACTCACTCCTGCAGACACACGCGCGCACACACATACATAATCGTCACAACATGTGGACATCCTCCATTATTATTCACACTACATCCAGAGGAATTCCAACAATTACCCACAGTGCAATAAATCTAACTATACACAGATAATTTATATATTTTATGTATACAGGGTTTTCAATAAACAGTTTTCCATTTAGACACTTTCATCAAGTCAAGTTTTCATAAATAGTGAAAAAGTCCTGATATCTCCTCACCATTATGATTAAAAAATGGTCCCCAAAAACATGAAAAAATAAAATACTAATGTGCACAACTTTTCAGCAATCGTCAAAACAAAACAAAACAAAAAAAAAAAAAAAAAAAAAAAATCACCAACAAAAAACAAATACCTGGAGGGGCATAGGTAAACGCGTATACTCACACTCACATCACAGACTGGTCACTACATTTACAGGGAGTGGAGGGACTTTGGATCACTGTACAGGTTAAGATCAGACAACAAATCAGGCAGACTGTCCACATATCATCCCACAACAACCACTACATCTTCATGCCCATTCAATATGCACAAGACCTGACACAACCGGATGGCCAAAACAATGCAGGTACATCACATCTACTGAGGACGGAGCTGCCTAAATGTTTGTGTTGCCATCCTATCCTGTCAGACCCAGGTGTAATGGATGCAGGTGAAAATCTCCTATTTGTTCTTGCTGCTTTGATGTGGAATGAATGAGATGGTGCTGATGGAGACACTTATTTTGTAGACAGGATAAGAGCCACAATAAGCCCATAAAGGCCCAAGACTTCAGCAAAGATTAAGATGAGGATCATGCCCACAAAGAGTCGTGGCTGCTGAGCAGTGCCCCTCACACCAGCGTCGCCCACAATGCCGATGGCAAAGCCAGCGGCCAGACCACTCAGGCCTACGCTCAGACCGGCCCCCAGGTGCAGGAAGCTCCTGTTTAAGAAAAAACAGAAGTACAACAGTTAGCCACAATAGCACTGAAACAGGACAGAACAGGTGTAGTCCATGCACTATTTAAAGAGGAACTCTTACTTGTAGAGGGTGACCCTCTCAGATATGTTGTTTGCTATCAGGACTGCCACCACCAATCCATAGATGGCAATAATACCAGCCATGACCACAGGGATGATGGACTTCATGATGAGTTCTGGCCTCATCACCGACATGGCAGCAATGCCTGTGCCACTCTTTGCTGTTCCATATGCAGCTCCAAGAGCTAGAAGGCAAAGTTTGTGTTAGGTCTTTCATCTACTACACTAATGCACATAATGCATACTAATGCACATACACAAATGTCTGAAGTATACCTTCTGGTACAGTATGCAGTAATATAGTTGATAGATACTACAACCAATTATATAATATTGAAATTAATCTAATACAAATATATTCTACCAGTACTAATGGGGAAAATTGTTGCAGAAAAACTCTTGAATAATGCAGTGTGATGTGTGTTTAATAATCCACAGCCAAACTAGAACAGATTTGTACAATGTCAGTGTGACAATTATGTGCTCACTATGCAGACACAAGTACATCAAAAATACTACTGTATTCAAAACTGACGATACTCAATGTACAATACTCATTGTACAATTTGAATGGCTTTATCATTTTGAAGAAG